CTTGGAGGCTCAAGTCTATTATATAAAATGGCATAGTATTAGCATATATCTGACACAATCCTACTGTATTTACTTATAATAGCTAATATTGGGGTTTCCTTATAATAGCTAATACTTAGTAAATATTTTATTGTTTAGGAAATAATGACACCAAAATGTCTATACAGCAGAGATGCACATTTTTTTAGATGCTTTTGATCCATGGTTGACTGAATCTGCAATGTGGAATATGCTGATACGGAAGGCTGACTGTAAATACTTCAGATAATTATTAAGGAGAATAATTCAAATATTCTATTTTCTGACCTCATCATCTCCCACTGCTTGATTTCTCCTTTACTTGGAAGAGTTGACTATACACAGTATCTCAAAGTCCTCTCTCAAAGTTCTTGTTGGAACCGATTTCAGGCTTTAGTGTCCACCATTTCATCAAAACATGGCCTGCCATCACTGTTCTTCACAGGGCTAAATCAAATGGCTAATTAACCTATCTACTTCATTTGACAAAAACTATGCCCTTTTCCTACCAGATAAAACCTCTTTCTTAACTTGACTCTACAACATGACACTATCTGTTTTTTTTTTTTTTTTTTTTTTTTTTTTCTATTTTCCTGGTCATTCCTCCTGATCCCTCAGTCTTCTAAATGTTGAGAGAATTCTTGGTCCTGGGGGCTAGCATTGTGGCCGCAGTGGGTTAAGCTGCTGCCAGTGATGCCAGCATCCACTATAAACACTGGTTAGTGTTCCTGTCCCGGGTGCTCCACTTCTGATCCAGTGCCCTGCTAATGGTCTGAGAAAAGCAGCAGAAGATGGCCCAGGTGTTTGGGTCCCTGCCACCAACGTGGGAAATCTTTAAGAAGCTCCTGGCCCTGGCTTGGCCCAGCCCTGGTCATTGCAGCCATGTGGGGAGTGAACCAGCAGATGGATGATCTCTCTTTATCTCTGCCCCTCCCTGTAACTCTCTCAAATAAAACAAAATAAATCTTTAAAAAAAAAAAAAAGTATGTATACTCATCCCTCAAGTTCTATAATTGTCTCATGGCTTTAAATTCAACTTATACACTGCCAACTTACAATTTCTTTTCTTTTTTAAAAAAAGAGTTATTTATTTGAAAGGCAGAGTTGGGCCAGGCCGAAGCCAGAGCTTCTTCCAGGTCTCTCACATGGATTCAAGGGCCCAAGGACTTGGGTCATCTTCTGTTGCCTTCCCAGGTGTACTAGCAGGGAGCTGGATCAGAAGTGGAGCAGCAGAGACATGAACTGGTGCCTATGTGGGATGCTGGGCACTGCAGATGGCGGCTTAACCTTCTGCACCACAGTGCCAGGCCCAAACTCCCAATTCTAGGTTTAATCAGGACAACTCCTCTTAATCCTAAACTTTTATCTACCTGCCAATACATCCAACATTTTTTTCTCTGGAAGGTCTAGTAGGCATCTTTCCAAGTGAGCTCCCAAAATTCACACCAACATTCATTTCTGTAGCAATCCTACCTGTTCTTTAAATGATAACTTTACCTTTCCATTTTTCGGGCCCAAAACCTGGGAGCCATCTTTCATTTATACTCATATTGAATTTATCTTAAAAATACATCAGGAATCTGACTATTTGCGATGATTCTAGTCATCATCATTCTCTTACCTGCATTACTCTAAGAGCTAATAAACAGATCTCTACCTTTATCCTGTCTGCTATTCCTCCCTCATGTCATTCTTAATACAGGAACCAGAGTAACTCTTTTACTGAGTAAGCCCAAGCATGTAATTAGTTAAAATTCTGCAATGGCTTCTCTTCTAAAATTTGAGTAAAAGCCAGTTCTTAACAACCAAGAAGCATTGATCAGTCTCTGCTAACTTTGTTCTCATCTCTAGGTAATTTAGCTCACAGCCACACTATCTCCTTGTTGTTCCTCACACACTTTACGTATGCTCTTGCTTCAGAGTTTTGGCATTTTTCTGTTTCTTCTGACTGCAATATTATCATCTCTAGAAAATTATATGCTCACTTACTGTCTATTTTTCAGTGAGGCTTCTCTAGTTATAAATTCCAAAATATACCCAACTGCCTTGATATCACTCTGTCCTTTTTTTGATCTATTTTTCTAGGAAATCTACTATATAATATGCACATACATACACTGTATATGTATCAGAGTGTGTATGAATGTATTTATACACACACACACACAATGCTGTGTCTCCCTATACACTTACATATTTTCTCCCTTAACCAAGAATGTACTCCATCTCATAAGAACAAGGATTTTTGTTTCAGAGGCTAGATTAGTGCCTAATACATAAGAGGAACTAAAGAATTTCTAGTCAATCCGTGAGAAAGTGAATTTAAATATAGTCAATAATTTTCTTATAGGCTGTAACAACTTCCAAAATTTTCCATCACCGATATTTTATGTTCAGAGTTCACTAAATTATGTACTAAAACAAATAAATGAATCACCCAAGGAGACTATATATTCATGTAATTAACAAAGAGGCTTACTCCTTTAAAACCACTTTAAGTCTCATAAGGATTAAAAGAGAAAGAAATTAAATGACTCAAATTACTACAGAACAGCTATCACACTAAAAATGACAACTTTACTCAGAATGTAAGATTCTTCACTTACCAAGCTTTAGAATAAAACTGGACAACATGCATTCTCATTTAAATACTGAATGTCTTTCTACAAATTGACCAGTAAATGAACTCCTTTCCAGGGGGTAAATCTTTTATCATGAAATTGCTTAAATTTTATTTCTGCCAAATAACTAAAATATTTCATCTAGTTTTCCAAACCATTTTAAAAACCAAGAGATTGTAAGAGATGATTTTTTTTAATATTTTTTTTTGACAGGCATAGTTAGACAGTGAGAGAGAGAGAGAGACGTAGAGAAAGGTCTTCCTTTTTGCGTTGGTTCACCCCCCAAGTGGCCGCTATGGCCAGCACCATGTGCTGGTCTGAAGCTAGGAGCCAGGTGCTTCCATCTGGTCTCCCATGTGGGTGCAGGGCCCAAGGACTTGAGCCATCCTCCACTGCCTTCCCGGGCCACAGCAGAGAGCTGGACTGTAAGAGGAGCTACTGGGACAGAACCGGCACCCCAACTGGGACTAGAACCTGGGGTGCTGGCGCCGCAGGCGGAGGATTAGCCTAGTGAGCCGTGGTGCCGGCGTAAGAGATGATTTTTACAGAAGAGTAAAAACGTATCAGTGGTGGTTAATAAAGTGATATAAAAGTGATAAAATGCATTTGAGAAAAATATGGATTCACTGTAAAACTGTTAACTGTATAAGCACTATTAATTCCATTTCCATGTTGGTTTCAAGAACTGAGGTAAAGGGGGTTCCCTACTTTCTTTTTCAATGGGAAACAGGACACAATAAAGTGGAAGGGATGATTATACAGAATTCTGGGAACCACGAGGATTTGAAGATATTTCAGATCTGAAGACAAACTGTTCAAAAGCACATACTCAAACAATGACTCTCAGTGTCAATCTTCCAGAGGACAGTGAAAAAGGAAGTGAGGCATACACAGTGAGCATCTACAGTCTAAAATCAAAATTATTACAGTACAGTGGAAAAGTACTAATGGTGCCTGATAGTGCATTAAATATTGTCACCTATAGTTACTGTGGGCTATTAGTCTTGTAAAACACTTATAATAGGTTGAGAGTGGTGCACAATTCTAATTCACAATCTTTCTCTTCCCCTTCCACCATAATTATGTGAAGTGTTCTTCCTAAAAGAAATTTTTAAACGCAGGAAAGAACTGTAAGTTTTTCACAAAACTCAAAAAGAAAAGCAGAAACTCCCCCCCCCCCCCCCACCTTTTGTTTCAAGTACAGACAGAAGCCCTTGGTTACAATGACAGAGTATTACTAGCAGGTGATGGGTACAGAATGAATATTTTTGGTAAACCACACAAATAACTGCAACACAAATGCCACCATCAAAAATGCCCATTTAGCAGACCTGTGAAAGGGAGGATGGGAAAAAAAAAAAAAAAAAGCTGTCATGATAGTTCTTCCTTACTCTTCTAATGGACTTACCATCAAAAAGAGAAACACGTAGAAGCCCTGAAGAGTTATCTAAAGGTATTCTGAGTAGACACCAACCTTGATGTCAAGGCCCTTAAGACACACTAAATGGAAAACCGGGTAAGTTTCCAGGGGAAAAAGTTTCGGGTGCTATGTGAGCGAACCTATACGCATTCAACCGGACAATTACTTGGGACAACCGCAGTCATGCCCGTATACTATCACGTTGCTCTGGGAGAGCGCCGTTTGGCCATTTCTATAAAGCTTGGGAGTGGATGAGCAGTATTCGACTTCACGGCGGCAAGATGCCATGAGTCACTCAGCAATCATCAAAAAGGTTTAGCAGAAGCTGCGATTTCCCACAACCGTACGCGCACACGTGACAATATACCCATTTTACAGTGCGGCCGGCCGTGGGGGTCCGAGGGGCTGCTGCAAGTTCCGCAGGTGCGGCTTCAGGGTGGGAGCAGGGTGAAGGGGCAGTGGAAGTGGCCGAGGGGGAACCTCCCAGGCGATGGCACCCGAGTCCACGGCCAGGGTGGGAGGCCACGGCGGCCGGCAGCTGGGTTGGTTGGAGGAGAAGCGCAAGGCGCCCCGCGCTCCGGGTGCAGCTCGCACTCGGGCGGTTCCAGCTGTCCCACCAAAGCCGGCTGCCACGCGCCGCGGCCGCCACCTGAGGCCTAACCAAAGGCTCTCGGAGAACGTCCCCACAGTCTTTCCAACGTGACGGACGCCAGCTAAACGGTCAACCCCCTTGGGGTTATTTACGTACCTGGAGAAAATGATCCCCCTGTGGAGGGGAGCGCAGAAGCCAAGTGAGCTCGTGCTTTCACTTCTCAGCCACACGGCGTGTTCCTACGGCCACCGGCCAAAATGGCGGTGTCCAGCCGCCGCCTCGCGCAAGCCATAAGGGCCTATTGCGCGCGCGCGACAGAACGCGAGGCGGAGCCCTGGAAGTAGGTAGAGCCAGGAGCTGTTGACGTCATTGGGCTGCGACCTAGTTCGACGTCATAGGAGAGCCGGGCTGTCTTAAAGAGCGGAGTGGGAGTGGCGCGGAGCTGCAGGAGGTCCTGAGAACCGGAGTTGCTGCCCGCGGGATCTGGAAGCTGTATAAGTGCGTGAGTTTTTTCCCGATGTAGAGAATGGTCCTAGCAGAAGTAGATGCGTTCTGCTCCCCAGTGTCTCTCGCTTTTTGTGCTTGCGGTCTCCTCGAGACCAGTGGGTCAGGAGTGAGCCTTGGGCATTTTAGCCCGCCGTGGGTGCGCGGCGGGACCCGCCGAGTCTGATCCGCACACTGCTTGCTGAGGCGTCCCTCTGCCCTCGCTCCCTCTGCACTGTATCGTCAGTTCCTCGAGGCCAGGGGCCCAGCCTTCCCGACCTCCGTGTTTTATCCACTTGGTGGCGTTCAGTCCTAAGTCCACGGATTGATTCTATCCCAGTGTAGAGATGGGCTTGTGTGTGTGTGTGTGTGTGTGTGTGTGTAACAGGACGTTCAGTTAGTAATGGTGGTTACGAGGTTTAATTGTCATATCCTAGGCCTTACTTAACTTGCAGACTGAATCTGTTCGTCTGTTTATTCATTCAGTACGTTGCTTCCTGAGCATTGAAGTCTCAGGCCTTTCTGAAGTTTGCATTCCAGTGTCAGGTGCTTCTGTGACTGCGGGGAAACAATTTAGGAACTAATGGAAGGTGTCAAGGAGATGCTTCATAATCCACAGTAGCTTGTATAGTAGTGTTCAGGAACAATAAGTTTCACGTCTTGTTCACAGTCCGAGAAAAACGTTTTCATGTTTGCATAGACTTACTAAGATTAACAAGGATGTGAAAAATTAAGTCCACCTTTTCAAAAGAGGTTAACCAGTTCTAGACCTTGAAGCCATTTTTCTAACTTTATCTTCTATGTTAAGAGCACATGCAAATGAAACTTTTTTCTAAAGATTTATTTATTTATTATTCGAAAGGCAGAGTGACAGATAAAAGGAGAAAGAATTCTTCCAGCCTCGTTCACAACTCAGAACTTATATGGTATGCCAGCATTGCAGGTAATGGGTTAACTTGCTGTGCCAAGATGCTGGCCCTGCGAATGAAACTTTTGACAACTAGTGAGGATATATGATTTTTCTTTGCATCTGTTAATGAATATTTAAAATACTTACATGTTCCTGGAATAAAACTATATCAGGCTAGCATTTTTAAGGCTAAAACTTCTTTGGAATATTTGCTCTTAGAAATACAGACTTGTAGGGTGGGCGCCGCGGCTCACTAGACTAATCCTCCGCCTTGCGGCGCCAGCACACTGAGTTCTAGTCCCGGTCGGGGCGCCGGATTCTGTTCCGGTTGCCCCTCTTCCAGGCCAGCTCTGCTGTGGCCAGGGAGTGCAGTGGAGGATGGCCCAAGTGCTTGGGCCCTGCACCCCATGGGAGACCAGGATAAGTACCTGGCTCCTGCCTTCGGATCAGTGCGGTGCGCCGGCCGCGGCGGCTATTGGAGGGTGAACCAACGGCAAAGGAAGACCTTTCTCTCTGTCTCTCTCTCTCACTGTCCACTCTGCCTGGAAAAAAAAAAAATACAGAATTGCACAGTGTTGTATAATTAAAAATTGGCGAGTCAACCCCTCTACAGAAGAAGAAACAAAGCTCAGACTTGCTCAAAATCTAAGCTAACAGAGAGGCTGAAGCTAAAACTTTAATCCTATGCTCTTTCACCTACTACACCTGCTGCTTTGCATCTTTGACATCTTTTTATGTCATAATATATTAAAGAAAAACTGAAATTACAAGATGTTTTTCTTACAGTGATTCAGATGTTTGTATTAACTACATTTGAGAAAAAATTAATAACAATGCTATGTGGATAACCCATTAATTTTTATTTTTATCTTCTGTTGAAAGATACTTGGGTCCTGGTGTAATGTGCATGTTCTTTCTTTCTATGTAGAATATTTCAAAAATGACCACACCAAACAAGACGCCTCCTGGTGCTGACCCTAAACAATTGGAAAGGACTGGAACAGTACGGGAAATTGGGTCACAAGCTGTTTGGTCACTTTCATCTTGCAAACCAGGTAAAAATAATACAAAACAGAAAAGCTATTGGTGGTAGTTTCCTTGTACACTAGGGTGACTTTTTCTTTTCATTTAGATGGTTTAATTCGAAGGAGCTGTTATTTATAGTGTATCAGTTTCCAGCTGATTTATTAATTTCTTACAGATTTAACAGCATGTGTCATGAAGTCTCCTACTTATCCTCCTTTATCTGCAATAATTCAGCTGATACTTAGATAACTTTTTTATTTGTTGGTGGCTGTATCTCAGCATAGGATTAAGTGGATGATACATTTTTTTGAGTGAGTACATATCCCCAGATAATTTTATATTACTCTTGGTTGGGAAAGAATTTTTGAGTTACAGTCATTTTCTTTTTCTTTTTTTTTTTAACTTTTATTTAATAAATATAAATTTCAAAGTACAACTTTTGGATTAGCGCAGCTTTTCTACCCATAACCTCCCTCCCACCCACAACCATCCGATCTCCCACTCCCTCTCCCATCCCACTCTTCATCAAGATTCATTTTCAATTATCTTTATATACAGAAGATCAACGTAGTGTATACTAAGTAAAGATTTCAATGGTTTGAACCCACACAGACACACAAGGTATAAAGTACTATTTGAGTGGTAGTTTTACTGTTAATTTGCATAGTATAACACATTAAGGAAAGAAATCCTACATGGGGAGTAGGTGCACAGTGACTCCCGTTGTTGATTTAACAATTGACACTCTTATTTATGATGTCAGTAATCACCCGAGGCCCCTGCCATGAGCTGCCAAGGCTATGGAAGCCTCTTGAGTTTGCCAACTCCGATCTTATTTAGATGAGGCCATAGTCAAAGTGGAAGTTCACTCCTCCCTTCAGAGAAAGGTACTTACTTCTTTGATGGCCCGTCTTTCCACTGGGATCTCACTTGCAGAGATCTTTCATTTAGGTTTTTTTTTTTTTTTTTTTTTTTTTGCCACAGTGTCTTGGCTTTTCCTGCCTGAGACACTCTCATGGGCTTTTTAGCTGGATCCAAATGATGTGATCTTTAGGACTTCTTCCACTCTATGAGTCTGCTGTGTAATCCACTTCCCATATTGGATCGTTCTCTCCTTTTTAATTCTATCAATTAGTATTAGCAGACACTAGTCTTGTTTATGTGATTCCTTTGGCACTTAATCCTATCATTATGATGAACTATGAACTTAAATTGATCACTTTGACTAGTGAGATGGCATTGGTACATGCCACCTTGATGGGATTGAATTGGAATCCCTGGCACATTTCTAGCTCTACCATTAGGGGTTAGTCTGAGTATGTGCGGAACTGTACATCTCCCTCTCTTATTCCCACTCTTATATTTAACAGAGATCACTTTTCAGTTAAATTTAAAGTCCTAAGAATAATTGTGTATTAATTAAAGAGTTCAACCAACAGTATGAAGTAGAGCAAAAAAATACTAAAAGGAATAAAATAGTAAGTTGTTCCTCAACAGTCAGGACAAGGGCTGATCAAGTCATTGTTTCTCATAGTTTCCATTTCACTTCCACAGTTATGCTTTTAGGTACCCAGTTAGTTGTCACCGATCAGGGAGAACATATGATGTTTGTCCCTTTGGGTCTGGCTTATTTCACTCAGCATGATGTTTTCCAGATTCTTCCATCTTGTTGCAAATGACCGGGTTTCATTTTTTTTTAACCGCTGTATAGTATTCTATAGAGTATATATCCCATAATTTCTTTATCCAGTCTACTGTTGATGGGCATTTCGGTTGACTCCATGTCTTAGTTATGGTGAATTGAGCTGCAACAAACATTGAGGTGCACACAGCTGTTTTATTTGCCAATTTAATTTCCTTTGGGTAAATTTCAAGGAGTGGCATGGCTGGGTCATGTGGTATGGCTATATTCAGGTTTCAGAGGAATCTCGAAATTGTCTTCCATAGTGGCTTGACCAGTTTGCATTGCCACCAACAGTGGGTTAGTGTCCCTTTTTCCCCACATCCTCGCCAGCATCTGTTTTTAGTTGATAGTTGATTTCTGTATGTAAGCCATTCTAACCGGGGAGAGGTGAAACCTCATTGTGGTTTTGATTTGCATTTCCCTGATGGCTAGTGATCCTGAACATTTCTTCATGTGTCTGTTGGCCGTTTGGATTTCCTCTTTTGAAAAATGTCTATTGAGGTCCTTGGTCCATCTCTTAAGTGGGTTGTTTGTTTTGTTGTTGTTGAGTTTTTTGATCTCTTTGGAGATTCTGGTTATTAATCCTTTATTGGTTGCATAATTGGCAAATATTTTTTTCCATTCTGTTGGTTGCCTCTTCACTTTCCTGACTGTTTCTTTTGCAGTACAGAAACTTCTCAATTTGATGCAATCCCAAATGTTAATTTTGGGTTTGACTGCCTGTGCCTTTGGGTCTTTTCCAATAAATCTTTGTCTATATTTGCAGGGTTTCTCCAATGTTCTCTAATAATTTGGTGGTGTCGAGTCATAGATTTAGGTTTTTAATCCATGTTGAGTGGATTTTTGTGTAAGGTGTAAGGTAGGGGTCTTGCTTCATTCTTCTGCACGTGGAGATCCTGTTTTCACAGCACCATTTGTTGAATAGACTGTCCTTGCTCCAGGAATTGGTTTTAGATCCTTGATTAAATATCAGTTGGCTGTAGATCTTTGGATTGATTTCTGGTGTTTCAATTCTGTTCCATTGGTCTATCCATTTGTTTCTGTACCAGTACCATGCTGTTTTGATAATAACTGCCTTGTAGTATGTCCTGAAATCTGGTATTGTGATGCCTCCGGCTTTGTTTTTGTTGTATAAGATTGCTTTAGTTATTCGAGGTCTCCTGTGCCTCCATATGAATTTCAGCATCATTTTTTCCAGATCTGAGAAGAATGTCATTGGTATTTTATTGGTATCGCATTGAATTTATAAATTGCTTTTGGGAGAATGGACATTTTGATGATGTTGATTCTTCCAATCCATGAGCATGGAAGATTTTTCCATTTTTGGTATCCTCTTCTATTTCTTTCTTTAAGGTTTTGTAATTTTCATCGTAGAGATCTTTGATGTCCTTGGTTAAGTTTATTCCAAGGTATTTGATTATTTTTATAGCTATTGTGAATGGGATTGATCTTAGAAGTTCTTTCTCACCCAAGGAATTGCCTGTGTATACAAAGGCTGTTGATTTTTGTGCATTGATTTTATACCCTGCTACTTTGCCAAACTCTTCTATGAGTTCCAATAGTCTCTTAGTAGAGTTCTTTGGATCCCTTAAATAAAGAATCATATCATCTGCAAAGGGGGATAGTTTGACTTCTTCCTTTCCAATGTGTACCCCTTTAATTTCTTTTTCATGCCTAATGGCTCTGGCTAAAACTTCTAGTACTATATTGAATAGCAGTGGTGAGAGTGGGCATCCCTGTCTGGTACCAGATCTCAGTGGAAATGCTTCCAACTTTTCCTCATTCAATATGATGCTGGCTGTGGGTTTTTTTTATAAATTGCTTTGATTATATTGAGGTATGTTCCTTCTATACCCAATTTGCTTAGAGTTTTCATCATGAAAGGGTGTTGTATTTTATCAAATGCTTTCTCGGCATCTATTGAGATAATCATATGGTTTTTCTTCTGCAGTTTGTTAATGTGGTGTATCACGTTGATTGATTTGCAAACATTGAACCATCTCTACATACCAGGGAGAAATCCCACTTGTTCTGGGTGGATGATCTTTCTGATGTGTTGTTGCAATCTATTGGCCAGAATTTTATTGAGGATTTTTGCGTCTATGTTCATCAGGGAAATTGGTCTAATTCTCTTTCTCTGTTGCATCTTTTTCTGGTTTAGGGATTAAGGTGATGCTGGTTTCAAAGAAAGAATTTGGGAAGATTCCCTCTCTTTCAATTGTTCTGAATAGTTTCAGAAGAATTGGAGTTAGTTCTTCTTTAAATGTCTGGTAGAATTCAATAGTGAATCCATCCGGTCCTGGGCTTTTCTTTGTTGGGAGGGCGTTTATCACTGATTAAATTTCTGACTCGGTTATGGGTCTGTTTAGGTTTTCTGTGTCTTCATGGTTCGATTTAGGTAGGTTGTATGTATCCAGGAATGTATCCATTTCTTTTCTTTTTTTTTTTTTTTAAAGTCGAAAAGGAAATAGCCAATTAAATTTAAAGGAAAACAAAACAAATACCAGACCCAGTCACTGTCTACATGAATACAATGGAGCAAACCAACCCCAGAGAGTTCTGTGCCTTGGTGACCATACTGCTGGGCAGGGCTGGGGAGAAATGAAACCACCACTCAGGTTAAGCAGTTACTTGCAAATGAACTCATTTCAGGAGTGGAAGAATCTATGGGGGCACTTCTCGTATCAAACTGTATGCTAATTTCTCCGTGAATGTCCTGTCCCTTTAACGAGGCAGTTGCACAAACTCTCCTATTGCTACCTGGGGTCAACTCTGTTTCAGCCGACTCTCAGCGGAGAGGCGACCAGGACGACACCGTCTCCCCAGACAAAGAGCATCCGGATGTTACGTTTGGTTGATTTATAGATCTCTTCGTATGTTTCTTCATCGATTTCTATGGTAGTCACCGTCTCTTCCACATCTCCCAGTATCATATTTAAATGCTGATCGTAAGCGTGCAATCTGCATCGAAGCTCTTGGTCGTTTCTCATTTTCACGTAAATTCGTTCATCCAGGCTGAGCCTGATGAGATCCAGCGGCTCCTCTACAGTGTTGGTAGTTTGTTGCTAGTCCACATCATCCGCCATGTTTCGAATCTATCCATTTCTGATAGATTTCCCTGTTTGGTGGCATACAACTCTTTGTAGTAATTTCTGATGACTCTCTTTATTGCTGTGGTGTCTGTTGTTACATTCCCTTTTTCATTTCCGATTTTATTGATTTGGGTCTTTTCTCTCCTTTTTTTAGTTAGTTGGGCTGATGGTGTGTCAATTTTGTTTATTTTTTCAAAAAACCAGCCCCTCATTTTGCTGATCTTTTTTAATGTCTTTTTTTTGGATTCAGTTC